ACACAGAGAACATGGATTTCAAAGGGAGGGAGAAAAAGCAGAGGCCCCTCCAGAATAGGAGCGCAAGGCATCTGTTGATGCTGGCATCCCCCTTCTCTTCATCCCCAAGCCAAGGCTGGTGATCCAGTTGAGTGTGTGTGTATGTGTGTGCGTGTCTATGAGGGAGCAGGGAAGAAGGGGGGGTAGCTACATGCTAACATGTGCAATGCGCACTGACCCCACTTGGCCCCCATATGCTGCTGAAACAAGAAGAATGGTGGGCTACAAAGCGACCCTGCCTGTTTTCACCTGTGTTCCTACCCTGTACACTTCCTCTTCCAGAACCTCCATCGTGACAGTTCATTGTTGGTGGGAAGAACCATCTGCTGGGCTGTTTCCATATCACAGAAATATATGTTCTGTATAGTGTGACAATGGGATCTATTGCAGTAATCGCATGATTGGAGATCTGCAGGGCTAACTATCAAAACTCAGAATTAACATGATGTGTTATAACCTTAACCGTCCTCTGCTGTGACCCATGTGGCAAAAGCAATTTCTCTTGTCATCTTCATTTTTCCCCGAGTCAATGAATCTTTGTGTCACAACAGAAATACATCCATAAAGGAGTAGATTGCTTAAATTCTAGCACGTGTCTGGTCTCATAGATGAAACAGGTTTTGATTTATTGCAGACAGCTGTGTGCCAGATATGGGCATATACTTGTTTACTCTATGTATGAGTCGGCACTTGGCCATCCACTCTACTTGAGTTACGGCTCTCAGACATTTAAAGAAAAAGGGAGAGTAAATCAGGAAGGGAAAGGTGTGATGGCATGCCAGCAGCTGACACCACACATGTGGTTATGGTTCTTCCCCTCCAAACCACTCTGTTACCTCTGAAAGGCCGAATGGTGTTTTACAGCACAGAAAAGTCTTTTTCAACGTGGTTGGCACAGGTCTGCAACAGATTTCAATCTCTCTAAGGGCATTAAAGATAAAATGCCACACTCTCTCCCTTAATAAATATTTGTCCTGCATAATGTGAAGTGGCTAAATGAGTGATAACCACTGCCAAGAGGAAGAACTGTCTCCAGATGAATAAAATACTGTAGAAGCCATACAGTCAGTTTGTATTATACATCATTAAGCAGCCTATAATAACTCACAAACAATCTGCTCAACTGTGGTGGTGAAGCGTTTATGCAACCACATACCACACTAGCCTGACTCTCAGAGGCAAAGATAAAAAGGATTATTCCAGTGCTGCATGATTTAACAAGTAGTGGATAGCGCCCTTTTAACAGCCATGTTCTTCCTTTATAATGCATGCCGTCCACCTTAAAGATGGACATGTTGTGCACCTGCAGCAACTAAGAGCGACGGGTGAGATCCACCACAAAGATGAACTTATGCTGCAGTGTGCACGGCTCCCATCCTCCTATCCAATCACTCCTCAATTGTGGCTTGCATGATTGGTAACTCCTTCACGGCGCAGAGCCCACAGGTTACAAATTCAGAGGGCTGGAGGCCTGAAATGAGACTAAATGCGGTTGTGGGGTTGGATCTGAGCGGCGCTGTGACGATTGTGTTTGTGGGCTGTGTGCGTCCTGCAGGGCCGTCCGTCTGCTCTCTGCCTGGTGCGGAGAAAAGCCTCGCTGTGGTGAGCCAACCATGACCAGCTGGGCTCTCCTGCCCAAAAGGAGCTCACGAGCAGGAGGCTATAGCCCCTGCGTCTGCAGGTTGTTAACCTCACATCTTATTGCACTGACACATCAATTATTGTTATTAAGGGCTGGAGTAATTTATTTATATACTGATTTCCCTGAGGAAGAAGGCAGGACTAATTGAGCCAGGTGTATTTGTGTGTGAGCGTTCATGCTAGATGGGCTGGGGGGGGGG